GATTCAGGGGCGGGGGGCGCAAAAATGGCAAAGGTAAAAAAAACGCCAATAAGGGAAAGGAAAAAAAACAATCTGCCAACTAAATGATATATTGAAAAAGTTGATTACCCAAAGGGCGTGTCACAGGGGGGTCCCCCCCCCTGCTCGCGCAGAAAACGCATCTAAGGGGGTCTAAGTTTCAAAAAAATTCTGCGTGCTCGCAGTTTGGGTTACGGTTAGACCCCCCCCCCCTGGTACAAATCCCTGTACACGCCCCTGTTACCTGGACCTGGGATAGTAGCTGTAGTTTAGAAGTATTGGGCATCCTAATCTGAGAGACAACCAAAAAACTCACATTCAATTTTTTTTCTTAATTTTTTTCATTGGCGTCAGAAGTTGGAAGGGCGCCAATTTTAGCACTTGCCCCGGGCGCTGTTTTTCCTAGATACGCCTCTGATTAGAGGTCAGTCTGAACGTTGTGAAATTCTAATTTATAAGTTGTTACACCCTCAAGTGTGCGAACCCTTTCCGCGGGAAACAGCATCATCGACAAATGATGGTCCCAACTTGGGACTCCCAGGAAATAACACCTTGACATGCGATTATCAAATTAAGCACAGGTTTTATATGGATTGAATTTTGACACTTAATTTTTCGATTTTTCGATGAAAGTGTCCAGCTTGTAGGCCTACGATCACTCATTTTTGGGCGATCCCCCTATTATTTGCAAGAATCTTCTTCTTCTTTACCTTTCTTGCAAATGATGGGGGGGGTGACCCCCCACCTCTCCCATCATTTGCGAGACATTTGCAAGATGTTTCTTTTTTTCTTCTTCCCTTCTTTTCCATTTCTTTTTCTTCTTCTTCTTTTCTTCTTTCTTGCAAATGATAGGGGGGCGACAGCCCCCCCCCCCCTACCCCTCCCCCGTGGCGCCGCCCTGATTGCAATATATATTTAAATATTATTCAATTATATAAGCGATATAGGCCTATATTTAATCGATCCCAGTAAATTCCAATAGAATTTTATTTTGATGACTCTACATCCAAAGTGCAAGGCACATACTCACGAGTAGTGTACTGTGAAACATATTTATTCTAGTGTCTCGCTTAATGATAACGCACACCCGCTTAATGATAAAGCACCCCCGCGTTTCCATTTAATGCAGCACATGATTAAATCTGTTTTCACACATGCCCACTATCTACCAGAAGAAGTTGTTTTGTTTGAAATGATAGGAAAATTGTATGGCGCATCTCACTTTACGATGCCTAATCTTTCTGAATGTCACTACGCTGGAAAATCGATGTGATCGGTGTTCGTGACAATGCAGTAGACTTCCAGAGAAAAGTATTTTGTTGAAATTATGCATTTAAAATAGAGAGCACAGGTTTGTAATGTGTAATTACTCGATTATTTACGTGTCGAAGATGAATAGAGTAGGGAACAAGAAAGAATGGGTGAAATCACGGCTGGAAACGAGGGGAAAGTATTTGCTTTACGTTTGCAACGTAGTAAAATTTCATCCTTAGCCCAGCCATATCTATTATAGTTTGCGATTGGAAAGTGGCGCCACCTATACCTCTTTTGTTATTTCATTTCGACGTGTGTAAATTCAGTTAGGGTATAATCCAGTTTATTTTTTGTAAAGCGAAGGACAGCAACTGCATGTCTTTAAAAAGTATCTGTCAATAGTTCAAACGCCAGAGAGAAGATTATGATCAAGTATAGTATAGGTTTAATGACAATATCGCTTAGGCCTACTCTCAACGTGTGTCATTTTTTATTTATTTTGTTTTTACTCGTTTTTAAATTTATCAAGCGGCCAGTCTGTCGCATTTCATAGCGGAATACACATTCATATTCCGATACATTGACGTATTTAAAGTTTGATAATGCTCTGATAACATGGTAGTTCCAGGCATGGTCCTGGCGCAGCACGCCGCGGTAGATCATGCACTAACACCCCCCCCCCGAGCCCTCTCCACTTTCCCTATCACAACCATATAGTCATAATGACCTACATGGGCATATCCTCATCTCGTTAAAGGCATTGTTTGCGCTGAATTTCGCACGCTAACGCCACGCGCGCGAAAATTGGCTAAACTTGTTTTTACGATTTATTTCTGACGGTCTGTGAGACGGTGGTGATTGCCACTAACAACATCTGCATCACGCCACGCTATTGATGCAACCCGGTTAACTATGCGAATAATTATCACGACGTTGAGACTTGTCATGCGTTTACTTCTAGACACGTACGTACCTTATATTGTCAGCGCAAATAAACACGTAATCCATAGACGA